GACGTGTCCACAGCGGGCCGACCAGCCCAGCTTCTCGCCTCCCTCGGCCCATGCCGCCGCGGACCCTGGGACCAACCGGACACACGCTCCGGTTACCGAGAGCTGCTGCAGCCCGCGCTCCACGGTGCGAGGAAGAGAAGACACCGAAGTACCTGAAGAGAAAAGCAAATGGAGTTCTCATGCCCGGCCCACAGCGGGAGACCAGACCACCAGACAACAGCAAAGGTATATATTAGATATGAGAGACGCAGACAGTAGACAAGACGTACAGAAGAAGACAGACAGGCAGAAGAAAGAAGAGAGACAGGCAGACAGAGAGAGAGAGAGACAACCAAAAAGAGAAGAGACAGACAGACAGACGAGCAGAAGAAGAGAACATAGACAGACGAGAGAGAGAGGGACAGACAGACAGACAGAGGAAGAAGAAGAGAGACAAGACAGAGAAAGAGAGAGAGAGAGAGGCAGAGAGAGAGAGAGAGAGAAAGAGACAGGCAGACAGACAGAGAAAGAGAGAGAGAGAGAGAGAGAGAGAGACAGGCAGACAGACCGGTTTCCTCTCCGCACCAGGAATTGAAGAGCGGTGGGGTTTTTTTGTTTTTTTATTTTTTAAAGTAGTCTTTATTATAAAGATTACAAATATAAATAAAGTATCTATCTATTGCAAAAAAGATGATCACAATTCAGATGTGAGTGACAGATATATATATGTGTGTGTGTGTGTGTGTGTAACAGTATACAAACATATACAATACAAATAAAGTGAAATAAAGCGTTCTGAAGCTCATCTGTTATTACAAAGAGACAGAGGACCATGTGTTAATAGTTTTAACTGCCTTGTTGTTGTTGGAGCCAGAAATCAAATGAATATAATGCAAACTTCATGGAGAACAGGTGCAAAATTAGTTTTTTTACTGTTGAATTTACATTTATGAATGTGGAATTTTGCCAACAGAATTAATACATTTATAATGAAGTACATATTTTCTTTACTTTGACTTCTATAAAAGCAAAATACCACATTCTCCCACAATAAGGTAAATATGGTCAATCTGCTGAAGTTTTGCCAAAATGTTCTGGTGTGTAAACAAATACCAAAAGAGGTGCAAAACAGTTTGTGGGTGGTCTTCACAAAAAACACTTTGTATTGATGTCCCTTTTAAATGTAACCATGTAATGATTAGCAGTGAGCGGTGGTTCAACTCTACTTTTAAACCGGTTTTATTTGGCTGATCACCTGTTTCTGCTCAAATAACTTAGAGATCTGCGGTCATCTGCGCATGTGCAGTGCGGTACTGCCGCCACAGAGTGCAAAGCTCACCTGGTGTCACAAAATAACACTTTTTCTAGTGTGTGTGTTTTTTTTTTTTTTTTTGTCTAATATTTCTAATTATTGTGTAATTTAAAAGTGTAACACATGTTCACACTGGGTTTAGTTTGAGCCTCAGTGTGGCTGAGGGTCTGCTGTTTGTCCTGAAGGGGGCGCCAGAGGAACAGCTATATGTGCTCAGGTACAATCGGAATAGTTGATCCTCCTGGGAGCATGAATCAGTCAGCAATCCTGTGACATTGTGACATATTTCTTTGTGTGCAAGGTTATAGCCTGGGGAAGGTGCAAGTATTATTATTATTTAACATACTGCAGGGAGTTTTAACTGGTTATGAAACAGCCTCACTTTAATACTGATGCAGCTATATGACCTACATAAACAAACAGACCATGAGCAGGAAGGAAATCTGCTCACAATTTCATCACAGTCAATCTGAGAGAGATTTTGACTTTACAAAGGGTGTATTTGTCAGGAACTGAGAGCTGCTACAGTTATATACTCTCTGCCAATGAGAGTTATATGCAGCAGACATTGATTTATTCTAGGTATTGATTTCTAGGCTCACAGTTTCAGCACCGATACCAAACTATAGGCTTCCTTTCAATAGTTTACTTTAAAGAATATAAACATGTTTGTCAACAAAACCCCTTTTTTCACTCAACGAAAAGGACAACCATTACATTAAGTTAAAATAATTAATACAATTGTGCCAAATTGTGATTTAAATCAGGAACTATGTGATCAGAGATTACATAGGATTACAAATCTGACTTGACATAAATTCTAGTTTAGAGTACGTGACAGATTTTGGTACTGCTGCCACATTTTGGGTGGTACCAAACCATGTTTTGTGGTTTGATGATCACAGACTTACTTGGAATAAAATATGTAATTATGTAACCATTTAGCACTTAACATCTTTCCCTTTTGTGATACTTTAAGTGAACAAAGTGTTGGTCAGAGGGGACATTTTGACCTGCTGGTTGGCACTAGAGAAATGGTCGATAACAAGGAATGCTCCAAACAGTAAAAATAATCTGGACAGTTATTTAGATATTTTTGCTGTGGTCCAATGAAAACAAAAACACACAAATATTTACATCACTACTACGTTTTATTTGGCAAACAGCTTGAGATAGTCTCTCTTTTTCAGTGTACAGTATATATATACTATAATAAACCAACACATTCTGTTTGATAACCATTTTTTTCTCGTTTTTACATATTACAGCTTACAAATATAGCTGATCTTTTTGACAAAATTACAGATTCTGTTTGACACCTAAATTATTATGCTATATAAAAACCCACACATCTTACATTCATGATTAGAAAAAGTAGGCTATATGAAATCAGGAAAAGAAAAACAAAACAGCACAGTACGCAATTTCAAACAAATCCAATTAGGAGAAGGGAGGGGGGTCAAGGTTTCACAAACAGAGTAGTATGTCTCTCACTCTGAAGCCAATGTTAAGTCATCTGAGAGAAATTTGCTGCTATTCCAAAATCATCAGTACAGAGAAGATATCAAGGAACAACAACAATACTGTCACGTAAGAAGAAGAATGGTTAAACCTCTGTACTCAGTCCAAAGTTAGAAACTAATACCTTGCCATGGATTATAATGGATAGTTGATAGGAACTAAACTTTGCATTGCAAACTGTACATATTACTTCATACAATCTCTCTCTTCTCTCACTAGTGCTGTCTTAAGCCTTAGTCCAAGGATTATGTAAATGCTTCCAAGCTTCCCTTTCGTGCCTTCGCTATCTCGGCATGAGACATCTGCTTAAATTGGACATCTTTCTCACATCTGTAAGACAAAGTTGAACAGAACTGCATGAGGGAGCTGCCATTTGGATATTGGGAAAGCAACTAAACCGTAATAAAATCCGGCACTGTGAATGCCTCGTTGACAGGCAAACTTTTTTTTTTTCTTCCTTGATGTGTGCAATAATTGAATCAGCACAGAGCAGTTTTTTTTTGTACCATGAGGATGGACTGAAAAGTTGCTGCCTTAAAAATACAGCTGGCCTGTCTTTGCTTCACTGATGGGTCCGCCTTTGTCGGGGAACCCGAATCTCACCAGTGAAGTTTTTATACACAGTATTGCTGAATATTGAGCATTGCATTCGGTTTATTGAGAAGTTACTGTTTGAGTTGCTACTTTTTTCTTCTTCTTGTGTGTAGGATACATGTCCATTGGCATCACATTGTATCAAAAACCAGGTTGAGTCATGCTTTACGCAAACCATTGCCTAGAAATGTTCTTTTTTTTCTTTTTGTACTGTAGATAACAAGATAATTTTTCCAGACGTCTGGATTATTACATGACAACGTTTGCAAGCATTGATCTAATCATAACATCTAAATAGAAAACAAGACCAGATTATTCTAAAACTCATCTTTGAACACTTGTTCACAAAATAAAAATAAAAAAGGGATGCATTTTATTGAATCCAAAGCCCACAAATGTTTTTTTAGTTTGTTTTTCTTTTTAAATATCTTATTTTTCACCCTTACCTGACTTTCATCTTTACTAACAATGCACCAGAACTGTGTTGGACTTTGACATGGAGCTGGAAGGGACTTTAATATGTAAACACTGCGGCAACAGCCAGATGTAAGACAACACACTCAAAATACAAGAATCAGTAACTGTGGAATGTAAAGGAGCAAACAGAGAATTACAGATCACCATCCAGTTCGGGGTAAACACACAAAATTATCAATTTGTACTTTAAAGATAAACTGTAATCATGATAAATAAATATTCTATTTGAATTTAACCTAAAATAATTTTTGTATATTGCCATAATATATTCTAATATATTTATAATTTGATAAAGATTTCACTATATGTTTTGGTTTGTGCTGTCGTTCTAAATAATTACATATAACATACTATATACCTGTGGAATGTATTTCTTTTATCCGGCTGAGTACTTAAATTCCACCTTAAAAATGAGGATTTCTAAAGAGCTGGCAGGAAGCTAGATGAGGGACAGATTAGTAATGTGCCTATGACACACACACACACACACACACACACGCACAGACGCACGCTCCCTTTTTTTTATTTCTTAATGAACACCGACGTTTATTGGAATGACTTAGAAACTAAAAGTGTCAGGTACGAGTGTCCTTCATAGAAAAAGGGGGAATCACAGCTAAAAGGTACAGGAATGTAAAGGTTTTTAACACTGCACAATGACAGAAATACAAAAGGTAAAGATTTACTTTGCAGTGACCTAAATGCAGTGTTGTTATCAGTTAATTCACCAATGGAAAAGTATTTAAGGACTTATCAACACAGTGTAAGTATGTCAAATTTACCAGAATGACAGTGTAAAAACACAATGTGAGTGCAAAGTGTCAAAAGAAAGATACTGTTCATACTTACATTGTGCCATTACACCTTTCTAAGTACTCTACAATGTACACTGGCAGCATTTTTTGGATAAAATACACAAATACACTGCAGTAAGGATATTGTAAAATGTCACCATAAAATGTAAAGGTGTGAGAGGAGAACATGGAGGTATATGGCACTGAATGATCTGACAGGGTCAAACGGAGGTGAAACAGGGAGTTCTGGGCGGTCCAGTTTTATATCGGTAGAACTTTTCCCCAGAGAGATGCTGTCTGTCCATGTTTCGAAAACATTTCCTGCGGCTCTCATCTCTGCTCCTCACACGACAACCCACATTTCCAGTGCTTCACCTGTAAGAATGTTCTTATCGGATACAAAAATCAAAACAGTCGGTATTTCCTCCTTCCTTTTTTGCTTCCATTACAGTTTTGCATTGAAAAATACGTTTATTTTTTTTATTCCTCATTTCTTTTTTTAAATTCTAGACGTCTTTTTCTTTCTTTTTGTGTGGATCCAGAACTTGTCTCCATCTGTAGCTACATGTGTTGGGCATCCATTATGTCCAAGTATTTGGCCTCAATGATATGAGGAAGCACGTTGTTCCTAAACACAGAGCAGACAGAATTTATGTCAGTTGTTACTTGTTAGGCCAGCAGTGAGAAAGAAAACGTGAAAAAAAAAAAAAATCTCCACACCATCAAAATGTCAGATGTTATCAACCAAGATTTATCACTTCCTTCTCAGTAGCAGCAGCGAACAAGAGAGCAAATCAGCAATACAGTGGCGGCTGATGTACAAGTATGTGAGTGTGCATAATGGCACTTAAGATCTGGGTGGGGGAAATGTTGCATATGCTGTATTATTAACGGCAAAATGAAAATGATAGTTCACACTCAAAAAGTTAAAGTCTTCAAGTTAAAGGAGATGTCTTTTTAATGCAGTAAAATTACAATTGCAGCTGTTGGAAAGTGGGAAATCAGTCCTTGAGTTATGCCCAAAAATGTGTTAGTCAAGGTCATTTTGAGGTCACAAAGACCTTGAGTCAAAAGTGTCACCAATTCATTGTCTAACAAACTGTAAAATACGGCCCTCAGTTCTTAAGTTATGATTAAAAGCATTTGTGAGGTCACAGTGACCTTGACCTTTGACCACCAAAATTAGTTCATCCTTGAGTCCGAGTGGACGCCTGTGCCAAATTTAAGGAATTTCCCTCGAGGCGTTCCTAAGATATCGCGTTCACAAGAATGGGAACGGACAGAAGAACATTATGCCTCCAACCACTGCTCTCGCCGACCACGAGGTATAAAGAGAGATACTCAATGTACACTACCTGAGCAAACTAAAAGACATTTTCCACAAGAGTCCAAAACATGGAAGTGAAAGGGAGAGTGAATACTGGGCTTACATTCACCAGGTCACTTTAAATGAATGCTGATATTGCTCAGTGTCCGCTGGGTGTGTAAATAGCGAACACGTTAATCGTAACAACTTTATACATTGATAATATGTCAATGTTGTGTTCACAGTTTGTTGCAGTGACCTGAAAAAATGAATTAATGCTGGTTTAAATGATAAGTACGAGTACAATGTTAGCTTTGGTTTAGATTCTGTTAGAAATTAATTAGAAATGAAGTTCTTCGCTCAACAAACTTGTGACACTGAAATCGCGTCATTGAACTAGCTATTCTGAACTGCCAATTGGTAATGTCAATTTAATTTAGGTTTTTAGTCAGACTTGTATACTGCTAGATATGGTCTTTAATGTGCTGTCTAATGAAGGGTGTGGCCAGCAGTACTGCGACTGAATGAAAGTAATGGAGCTCTAAAATCTGTACTCTGATGGTAATGAACCCCACGCAGTGTGTTTCAGTAAACTTGGTTGTGGTGCAAATGTGCTTCATAGACACACAGAAATTAAACTAAATCATCACAAAAACAGGAAAATACTAAAGGCTAAACTGTGAAAAGTGCAAGATAAATAATGTTTACTTATTTATTTGAGTAAGTAACAGTTTTCAAGTGCAAAACCAAATGTTTTTCGTAGAAAATTTTCCACTAGTTTGGTGCAGTAAGAGTGCATGTGAATTATTTTATGAATTTACAAATATCATATATAATGCACTACACCCATCTGCTGCGAGTACTGCAGCCACTGTTTTCACACGATATATTAATAACACTGCACAGATGAACTGTGGCACAAAACATTTGTATCTCTACTGAACTGCCAGATGTTTCCAGCTGAAACACATTAATACTCATTATAGAATTACAAAATGTAATTAAGAACACTAAAATTGTCTACTTTACTCCCAGTAAGGTGCTGTTTAGACAGATTTGGGGTTTGACAACAATATATCCACATTTTACTGTGGCTGCAACACATTTTCATCCAGAGGCAGATTCAGGTCAGACACCGCACTTGTGTGCTGCTGAATGTCATCCTGGTTTAAAGCACTTGAGAAAATCATTTTCTGAGACAAAATTGCCGCAGTCGTACCTGATTGGAATTAGCAGGATCATGAGCAGAGGGAAGATCATCTTCATGTACGGTATCGGGTACATGCCAAACGTACACAGTACCAGCAGCTGCATCATCTGCAGGAAGGTGAAGTAGTGGATCTTTCTCTGGGGCACTTTGCGAATGTAGTGGGTAGGCGGGTAAGACGTCTGCAGGAGGTGAGAGGATCAGGACAGATTAAAATACAATCTACCCTGAGGTTCTTTTCCTCAGTGTCCTCAGGTCTCCTGCAGTCTTAAAGGAATGACTAAGGGAAGTGGACGGCCCACACAGCTCTAAGAAGTGCACTGTGGGTTTTAGATCATAAATATTGTTTAGCTTTCCTATAGAGTACAATAAGTGCATTTAAAGCATAATGGGTCTTCTGTGGGGGGGGGGTACAGGAATGCAGCTGCAGGTATTATTTCAAACCTGCACTCCATAAGATCTTTATGTAAAAATATACTTGTTTTTTGTTGTAATATTTAGTGATTAGAAAAAAACGTTTTAAGTAAATAAAAGTGAAACACAAAATGACACTCTTAGCTGAAAAAGACAAAGGGACTAATGTTACATTGTTTGTGTCTCCTGTCCATCATTTGGTGATCTTTAGTTTAAATAACAGAATGCCTCAGTGGGTTGTTAACTATACTGACATTACGTCACAGGGCTTTGGGTACAAAACATATAAAAGATACTCTGCTTGGATACTAACTTGTATCTGATATCGCTTTTCCATAAACATGTCCAATAACAACTCAAATTACAAATGCTCCTTCTCCACCACTGAAAAATCCAAAATCTATGAATATACATATAAATATGTTTCATTTCAAACAAGATGTCTCCATCTTCACTGTAAAGACCATTCTCAGTGTATGTGCACTAAAGTTTCCACATCACACTGGATTGTAATGAAGCTGGATACTGGATCAGGACTGGCTTCAAACCTCCTGCTCGTGTGGACAAATGTTAAATGAAGTTAAAAACTCAAACATCCAAGTGAAGTAATAATAAGTTAAATACATTTTTGAGGGGAGGAGGGGGCAGTGAATTGTTTTGAACAGTTACCACTTACTGCCATTTGGAGGCGCTGGTGTGTGACATTACCAAATACAGTTAAAGCGTTAGAAAGCATCTCTATGTGGCTGATACCCAACACCAGAATAATAATGCTCATTTACTGGCTGATCTGTCTTACTTCACTAAACCCTACCCACCTGGCATTCTATGTAGATTAAAACAAACTAAAAATTATATTTGCAAATATTATTTGACTCAGGGGCACCCAGTCAACCATTGAATCTGCAGAGCCCTGCAAACTGACATATGGTCACTCAACCACCACGCACGCGGTTTCTCACCTGCTCCTTGAGGAGGAGACGCCATGCGGTCGCACAAATCCTGGTTTTCCGTCC